TGTAGGGAGAGTTTTCCACACCCTTGTAAGGAATACTTTGTTCCTTCCAATCTACGTAGAATATCACAATATCACTAAAAAATTTGGGCCATTAATCACTCTGCTATTGGTGAAGTTCTTGAGTATTTCGATCTACTCTTTTTTTATTTGAATTCGTATCTCTTATTTCACAAATATACGTATTCTTTTCAAAGTTATAATATTATTTTTAACCGTTCACTAGCATTTAAACAAACTTGCCAATCGTTTTAAGATAAGAGTTGATAGGTGAAAGAGGTAAGGGAAGCCAAGTCGGAGAGGTGAATGAGTAGGTAGCTCGAGACCTCGAGCCAATGTTTGAGTACCAGTCACTACTATGATAATGAAAAATCGGTTAGAATGTTGGATGAAAAGTCGTTTAACAAATTTTTAGCAATATTATATATATATATATATATATATATATATATATTAACATAAAATATGTGTGGAATTGTTAGGCTCGTTTATAACCGGGCTTAAAAATAATTATATCCTCTAAGACTTTTTCATTTTAAATATATTAAATATAAGATTCGCCACCGGATACCCTACAGCATAGTCACGTTACTTACTATTCGCTTCTAAGAATGAAAATTATCTTTACAGACCAACACGAGTTCTTCTAGTATGCTTGGTCCTCATTCACAGACCTTTTAAAAAAAAATCCAATATTTTGAATTTCACAATTTTTTTTAATAAAAAAAACACCTCCATTTGGAATTTTCAAAAGCCATTTTTGACTTTGAATTAGGGTTGGGGAAATAGGCATTAAACCTATTAATATCTCATTTATTTATTTCGAAAATTAGGTCTCTTCCAACTATATTTTGATGTGAAACGAAAAAATAAATTAATTTTTTAAAGAATAAAAGTCAATCATTAATAAAATAAAATAAAATAAATTTGATTTGGTCATAAATTTTGGGAAATTTTGTTGATGATTTCTTTATATTTTAATTTTAAAAAACTATTTTTTTAACACTTTTTAGTTTACATTTTTTATTTTTTAAAAACCAAAATTAGGGTTTTATTATATTTTATTATTATTTTCATTTTTATTTTGTAATTAGACAAACAAATTTTCTTAGAACAAAAAATCAACAAAATTTGGAATTTGGAATTTTTTTTTTCTTCATAGGAGATTGACTTTAGGGTTTAAGTAATTATAAACAAATAAAATTTAGGTGATCAAGTCAATTACTTTGAACATAAGAAACCTTTTTAAATTACTTCATTAATTATAACATTTTTTTCTAATTATTTAAAATATATCCTTCCACAAATAAATATGAACCCTTTTAAAAAATTCTTAAGAGATCACTTAACATAAAACTACCTCGAGTCATGAAATTACTGGAAAATAATGCATTTTATTAGTATATATATAATAATTATTAGTTTTTTTAAAAAAATTTCTTAATCGTAATTGTGGTCTCGATGTTCATTCGAATCTAATTTCAGTTTGTTCACGTATCCCTCATTTACTCGGATATCACAATCGAGCTACAACGACCAATAAAATAGCCGTAAAATTAAATATATTATTAAAAAAAATGTAAAAGTTACTTGAGTGAGCTAAAGTAGAAAAATGAAAGTAACCCTTTTCTAAATATAAAATGTGAAAGGAAATTAAAAGCTAATATTTTATTATTAAATTTCTCCATTTAAAAATAAATAATGATGGGTTTTAATTTAAAAATAAGTTGACCAAGTCCAGCTGTTCAAAAGTCGTGTCTTTCCACTCCTAGTTGGCCACCTCCTCCTCCCTGTCTCACTAATTTCATCAATAAATCCAAAATTATTTACTTTAAATATCTATATTCTAAAATTTATTTTATAAATTTTAAATTCTCACCTATTTTTTTTTTTAAATATAATATTACACGAAAATTATGAAAAATAACACCAAAAAATTCGGGTTTGATTGGTCTAATCAAGAAAGGCAAAGAATCTTCGGGTATTAGTTGGGTTGAGTTACATCAAAATTGACTTCCTAATTAGTTACTATAGCTCTCCACCACCCCTGTGCCCTATGGTCTAAATGAGCTATCCTGTGTCACAACGTGAGTGAGCGTGTTGAGACGAGTGCCTCGGGCGACTTCCTTTAAAATGGGTTTTTCAAGGACTGTACCGAGTGGTACAGGTGTGTTGGTATTGCGCCCCAACTCGCGTGTTGGAGGTTGCTACGTACAAATAATCCGTAAATGACATAGCACGGGCTTGGGAGAGCCAATGCCTCGATAGAACCTGGATGGATGAATGTTCGGGAAGTCCCGATGAGATGAGCGACACGCGGGCCCATTCTCGATACCATGATCGAGTGAGTTACGATGGCTAGAAGACACTCCAAGACTCGGAATAGCGTCAGGACATATGGGTCATGTCGGTGGAGATCGAAATGACAAGATCTAAATTCATTTATGTACCAAAATATTTTTTACCATTTTAAAAATTTTAACCAAATATTAAAAAATGACTATAAAGTTTTTAATTTTTTTTATTTGTTTTTGTCCACTTGCTCTGATTCCACACACCCTATTAAAAAACCCACCTCCCCAAAAAAAAAAATAGATAAAATAAAATGCCACGTCAGCCCTAAGACTCCAAACTCCATAAGGCTCCTCACGCGGCAACTTATAATATTTAATGAACTCAATCAACTGTCCATCTCACAGGACACGTGTCTTCCATCAGACGGCTCTTATCTTCTATAAATACCACCTTCCCTTTCGGAACTGGGAAATTAACAGCGGCGATCTGAGAACATACGAGCACCAATTATTACTAACAATGGCGGCGAAATCGATACTCGCGGCGGTGGTTCTGCTGCTGGCCGTGGTTGCTCCACCGCGGATGGCGTCGGCCGCCACTCACACCGTCGGCGATTCGATCGGCTGGAACATCCCTCCTGAACCCACTTCTTATTCCGATTGGGCCGCCACCAAAACCTTTCTCGCTGGCGACATTCTCCGTGAGTCTTTAAATTTTAAAAATAAATTAAAAAAACAAATAAATTTTTCCATCAATATTTATTTAATTGGATTTTTTTTTTTTTTTAAATTGCAGTTTTTAATTTCACCACCGGACAACACGACGTGACGGAAGTGACTAAGGCCTCATTCGATTCCTGCGCCACCACCAACCCGATCTCCTCCACGAAATCCGGTCCGGCGAGGATCACACTCACCGACGCCGGTAGCCGCCACTTCATTTGTTCCTTCGCTGGCCACTGCGGCACCGGCCAGAAGCTCTCCGTCACCGTCCGATCACAATCTTCTCCACCGCCGACTACCGCGCCTCCACCTTCTAACAAACCCAAAAAACCGTCGCCGCCGCCTCACTCCGGCCATCCGCCGAAAGCTTCACCGCCGACCGCCACTCCACCACCCTCTGAGAATGGCCCTTCAGCTCAGACGCCACCAGCCGCCCCGCCGCCACGCAACTCCGCCACCTCCCTCGGCGGTTTCGGCGTCTTCTTCTCCGCCGGATTGACGATTGCTGTAGCTTTGATTTACTAGAGATTGCCATAGTTCTTGTAAAAAAAAAAAAAAAAAAAAAAAAAAAAAAAAAAAAAAAAAAAAAAAAAAAAAAAAAAGAA